CGCTGGAGGACATGGCCTTGACCCAATTGCTACGGATGTTGATCGTGATGTTACTTTCGATATTGGATCGTACGACTTGCATCATCACTACGACCATCACCATCACCAGCACCATCACTCATCATTACGATCGTCACCATCAGCACTACGATCGTCACCATCACCATCATTACGATCGTCACCATCACCATCACCATGACCATCACCACAGGGGGGGACTCAACTCTCTCAACTAAAACCCGCCCTAGCCCCAGCCAGTCATCATCAATAACAACAACTCATCAGCATTCCACCATCAGCCGGAACACAATTGCCGTCATCACCCTCATCACCCACATCAACATCATCAACACCATAACCACCACCATCACAATTAGTATTATCATCACCCTTATCATCATCATCCTCATCATCATCACCCTCATCATCGCTATCACGCTGTGCGGCCATCGCGGGTAGGGCCTTGGGTGCCCCCTCGAACGAGACCCGCCGAGCATCCTGGATTGGCACGGTGGCGGAACTTGCCGCAGGCAGCTGGATATCATCGCCTCCCTCGCCTAGAACTGCCAGTGAAATCCCACCATCCCTCCGGGCGCGACTGGTTTACAGCTTTTCTTCTCCCATCTTCACCCTTTCTCTATGGTCGGAGGAGGAATTGACCTCTTCCCCTGCCCCCTCCACCTCGGCCCAGACGGGAGCGGCGGGAACCCATTGGAGCGTCCAACATGGCCCAAGATGGCTCCAAGAGCCCAAGAGGGAGGGAGACAAAGGAGAAGGAGAGAGGACGGAGGAGGGAGGCGGAGGGAAGAAAAAGGAGGGAGGAAGTGGAAACGCTGGCGCAAAGCCGAACACCGCTCACCAGGACTCCCCTTCCCTCTGGACGAAACCGCGCGCACGCGCACGCACCCACTCTCACACACAGGCACACACGCATACACCAACACGCACACACACACGCAGCCCAAATGCACTCCCCATCCCTCCTCTGGATGAATACGCGCGCATGCGCATACGAACCCGCTCGCACACGCAAAACGCACACGCGCACCCCCCCCACCCACACACACACACACACAACTGCACACACAACTGCACACACCTACACGCACACGCGCACACACAGAGAGGCACACGCGCAGACACACAGACACACAGACACACAGGCACACACACACACACACACAAACACACACGCACACAGAGGCACACACGCAGACACACATACACGCACGTTCCAAATGCACTCCCCCCCCCTCCCCCCTTCTGGAGGGCCCTTAGTAGGCCAGGGACAATCGGAAACAACCGAAAACCAACGCAAGCGAGCCAGGGGCGTCGCGGCCGCCAGGCGTTCTTGGACAGGCCCAAACCCGAAACCCTGTCCTCTCATCCCGAACCCCATCCGGAACCCCCAACAATAACCCAGAGCCCCGATCATAACCCCTAACTTGCCGTCGTTCGGACGTCCATTTCCCGTTCACTCTTCGGTTTCGTGCGCGTTTTTTTTCTCAACCATCCTGTGGTGTTGGGCCCTCGTTTTGAAGAGACGTCGCCCCGCGTTCTCCTCGTCCTCCTCCTCCTCCTCTCCTCTCCTCCTCCCCCTTCTCCTCCTCCCTCCTCCCTGCGCTTCGCCCACCCAGTGCAGCGCTTCGTGGCCCCATAGGGAGCTCCACCGAAGGCGCCAGTGGCAGGGTTCGCATGGCGGCCTCGGGCCATTTCGGCACACCCCTCACGAGGATCGTGGCCCCATAGGGAACTCCACCGAAGGCTCCAGTGGCAAGGTTCGCATGGCGGCCTCGGGCGATTTCGGCACACCCCTCACGAGGATCGTGGCCCCATAAGGAGCTCACCGAAGGCCCCAGTGGCAGGGTTCGCATGGCGGCCTCGGGCCATTTCGGCACACCCCTCACGAGGATCGTGGCCCCATAAGGGAGCTCCACCGAAGGCGCCAATGGCAGGGTTCGCATGGCGGCCTCGGGCCATTTCGGCACACCCTCACGAAGATCGTGGCCACATAGGGAACCCCGCCGGAGGCGCCAGTGGCAGGGTTCGCATGGCGGCCTCTGGCCATGTCGGCACGCCCCTCACGAGGATCGTGGCCCCATAGGGAGCTCCACCGAAGGCCCCCAGTGGCAGGGTTCGCATGGCGGCCCCGGGCCATTTCGGCACGCCCCTCACGAGAATCGTGGCCCCATAAGGGAGCTTCACCGAAGGCCCCCAGTGGCAGGGTTCGCATGGCGGCCTCGGGCAATTTCGGCACACCCCTCCCGAGGATCGTGGCCCCAGAGGGGGCTTCACCGGAGGCCCCAGTGGCAGGGTTCGCATGGCGGCCTCGGGCCACTTCGGCACACCCCTCACGAGGATCGTGGCCCCATAAGGGAGCTCCACCGAAGGCCCCAGTGGCAGGGTTCGCATGGCGGCCTCGGGCCATGTCGGCACACCCCTCACGAGGACCTTGGCCCCATAAGGGAGCTCCACCGAAGGCGCCGGTGGCAAGGTTCGCATGGCGGCCTCGGGCCATTGCGGCACATCCCTCACGAGGATCGTGGCCCCATAGCTGTGCTGCTTCAACAACCGCGCCTGGGCGTCGTACTCCGCCTTGTCGACGTGCAACGCCACCTCCTCCCCCATGGCTCTCAAGGCCCTCTCCTGCTTCTGCTCCTCGGTGAGAGGGATGCCGTCCTTGTCGTCGTCGGCGCCCGCGAAGACGGCCACGAACGTGTCCCTGAGCATGTCGGGCTCCGGCGGGAAGCCGTGGCCACATAGGGAGCGCGGGCGAAGATGGTATTCACAATTGCGGTATTCACAACTGCATATGGTTGGGTCTTTCGCCAGGCTAAGTTGTTCGATCCGCCGAGAAAAAATACACACGTCCGAACGATGCCAGGCTGATCCTAGCCTTAACGTTTTCGAGATTTCTCTGCGTTTGCACGCGGTCCCCAGGTTCGGCGTTCCACCGGCGGCCTCTCGCCTCCTCGCTGGTCGTGTGGTGCCGGGGACGAGGGGAAGGTGCCAGAGGAGGTGTGCCCCCCCCCTCCTGCGCCGGGGGCGAAGGGGAATGCCAAGCCGGGGAGCAGGAGGGAGCCCCTTTTCGGCTCCTTCTCCTTTAATGCACGCCCCCCCCCCTCTCCCCTTCCCCCGTGAGCCACGGACGACGAGCAGTGCTCGGGGGGGGGGGGGAGGCGGCCATTCCCCCCCCGGCCCTTCCATCGTGCGCCAGAGACGGCGGGAATGCTTGGACGGGGACGTAGGGGCAGAGCTTTGAGTGCCGGGGGAGGAGGCGGAAGCCCCCCCCCCCGCTGGGAGCAAGCAAACGATTAACCGCGCCGAGACGTGGACCGTCAACTTCATATATGACAATACCTACGCTGTACGAAGTTGGAAGAAGCTAACTCGCGGCCTTCGCCAGCCAAAGGTGGCATGGATCTCTGGATGAAATTAGGCTCGGTGGCGCTGCACCGAGCCAACAGAATTGATGTTCAAAGTCGAGAGCAATCCCGGCCCTAAGAGCGGCTCACGTCGGAGCCCCAGCCTCTTGGACAGAAGCAAACCAAACGGCCGACCGCGTTGCTGGCAACGAAGCTGCACGCTGCCCGCTCGAAGAGGAGACTTGCGCACCCGTTTTGAAGCTCGACCGCGGAGAGGACGAGATCAGGCTGATACTCGCCACCCACGACAGCCCCGAATCCATGCCACCGCTAGCGAAGCATGCCTTCGGTGGAGCTCCCTCTGGGAGCACGAAGCGTGTGGGTGCGCCGACATGGGAAGGTGCCGCCATGCGGACTTTGCCACTTGGGCCTTCGGTGGAGCTCGTTATGATGACACGAACCGTGCGAGGAGTGTGCCGACATGGGAAGGTGCCGCCATGCGGACTTTGCCACTGGGGCATTCGGCGGAGGTCCCCATGGGGCTACGAAACATGTGAGGAGTGCGCTGACGTGGGCCAGTGCCGCCGTGCGTACTTGCCACTGGGGCCTTCGGTGGAGCTCCCTGTAGGGCCAATGGTGCCACCACTGTGGCCTTCTGTGGAGCTCCCTGATAATGGGGCCACAAAGCGCGTGAGGCGTTCGCCAAAAGGGGCAAGCGGAGAGCAGAGGCAGGGATACGAGGAGGGAGAAGGTGGAGCAGCAGGAGTGACGCAGGGCGCTGCCTCGTCAAAGCGAGGGCCCAACACCACAGGATGTATGGAAACGCTCCGCAAACACGAACTGTTGGAAGTCCGCTCGGTGCTCTTGGGCCGGCGCGGGACTCCCGTCCCGCCGCACGCGCGGAGCGCGCCGTTGGTGGCGCCCGAGGCGCCGCCACGGTGGGGGGGGAGCGCCAACCGAGGAATTCCGCGGGGACATCGGACCGCTTGTGATCTAGATCCTTACTCCCGATCCCCCTCTCGGACTCATTCGCTCCCGTCTTCTGATCTCTTTATCGGCCAGGCCCTCGCTCCTCCTCAGCGCTCCATGTTCCGGACCCCCTTCGCCTCCGACTTGCTCGCTCCCTTCTTCTGATCTCGTTCGGCCCATGCCTCGTTCGATCACGTCCCTCAGCATCGTCAGACCTATCCCCATCCCGCACTGGCGGACGACGACGACGACGACGACGACGACGACGACGACGACGACGACGACGACGACGACGACGACGACGACGACGACGACCTCGCGGGGAAATCCTCTGCCCCGCTGGCTGACCCATCCCCCCCAGGTGGGGACAGATGCCCTCTCCGTCGGGTCCCGCGGCATCCGCCCCCACCTGCCGCTAAGGAAACTCTGAGGATGCCATGTCCCATGCGTTCTGTTGGGTCGTCGGGGGACCTTGTCTCTCCTATCGCACCGCTCTCCGCTTCGGACCCGTGTCGAACACATGTCGACTCCGCGTCGGATCAGGGTCGAATACACGCCAAATCTGCGTCGAATCCGCGTCGAGGCCACGTCGAATACAAGAACATATAGCCAATTGCAGGACAGGCAGTGCCCCCCGAAGGTGCAACGTAACATACGCTGGCGCTCCTGAAGCCCCGACAGCCCGAAGAAGCAAGCGTCCCTGAGCAGCCCACGCAGCCGCCCGATGTCCGCCGGCAGCTCGGCGTCACCGTCCCGGAGGTAGTCCAGGATGAGGCCAAAGGACTCCCCCTGGAGGAGGGGGGGGAGTTGGAAGTTCTCCAGACAGGAAAAAGAAACTGGGCATCGCTCGGACGTCCATCCTCTGTGCTCTTTTTGGTTTCGTGCGTGGCTTTTTCGCCAAATAGTCAAGGATGCTCCTCGATGGTCCTCGCCGAGGAAAAAATGCACACGTCCGAACGATGCCGAGGAAACCCCCACGCGAGGCGGGATACCCGGGGAGCACTGGCACACTTCGGGCCTCGTGTCCGCGGTGTGCAGTCCACACTCGTCGAAAACACGAGGCGGGATGCCCAAAGAGTACCGGCATGCTTTGGGTACGGCGGCCGCGGTATGCAAGGTGTGTGCGGGGCGGGTCGGGAGCTCATCCCATTCAACCTACAAAGCCCAACCTGTTCAGTGGGCGAACATACACTTTCGGAGGGCCGCGCGGATTTCTTGCATCGGCGCTCGACCCCCTGGCAACGCCTCTGGCGCCGCCCATGGCGCGCTCCGCGCGCGAGGGTCCAGCGGTGATCCGAGAAATTCGCGCGAACCTCCGAAATTCATGTTGCTGCCCTCATCCGACTGCACGAAAGGAGAGGAGTTAACGACCCACGAACCCGAAACAGGAATTAGACCTGCGAGGTATGGAAGCGTTTCAAAGCATTGGGCGATGGGCACTGGCAGTGCTGAAGATACCGATGGTGATGACAATACCGTGCCAGGGGCTGTGTTGTGCTGCGCTGCGGCGCTCCCACGGCTAGGATCCCTCGTCAAATACATTGTGTCCGCGCTCCCAGGGCCACGATCTCTCGTAACCAGTAACTGACGTTGCGTCCGCGCTCCCAGGGCCACGATCCCTTCTGAATTACACGGCATCCGCCCCCCAGGGGCACATCCCCTTGTAAATCACAATGCGTCCGCGCTCCCAAGGCGACGATCCCTCATGAATTACTCGGCATCCGCGCTCCCAGGGTCAGTATCCCTAGTAAATTGCACTGTGTCCGCCCCACCAGGCCCACGATCCTTTGTAAATCACCATGCGTCCGCGCTTCCAGGGCCAGAATCCCTCGTAAATCACGCGGCGTCCGCGCTCCTCGGGCCACGATCCCTTGTAATGACGGCGCGACCGCACTCCCAGAACCACGTGGGCATCCTGGGGCACCCCGGCCCCTCAAGTTCTGCAAAATAAGCGTTTCGCTCGAGACATTCTCGAGGAATCTGCGCGCAGGACGCGCTGTCTTCGAGCGGGCACGCAAAAAGTCAACTTTCCCATTATTTTCTTTGAAAGCGTAAGGCTTCTGGACAGAATAATGATTTAATGCAGATTCTGCGCAAGACGCTCCGCACCTTTTCCTACCAGGGAAGCGGGGGTCTGCGGACTCCGTTAGGCATCGATGATCTGGGATGGGGGGCACACTTTCCTCGAAGGGGCACGCGCGAAACGCATTTTCCCACCCAAAATATGACGTGACATCTTTTATTCAAGCGGAAATTCGCCGGCCCTCTTCAAGCATGGCACCGGCTACAGCTTTCGAGCTAAAAGAGAACCCTGGGCCACAACTCTTTCCGGGATAAACGCGTTTCGAGGTTCGTGGAGGCTTTCAGGTCTGGGGTGTTTTCCATTACCTGCGCCTCATCGAGGGTCTTCAGGGGAGCTCGGTGTCGTGTTCTGAACATGTGCGTGGGGCTGTGGCCGCCAAAAGCCTGCTAGGGGAGGACATATATATATATATATATATATATATGTATATATATATATATATATGTATATGTATATATATATATATATATACACACCGATAGGACCACCCTACGGGTGATAAGGAGGTTTGGGGGGAAAGGGGGAGGCGGTCGATATGCGATGACTCTCGCCTGCCGCCACCAAAGAGTGCGCGGGCAAATAAATACCACCTGCTTCCGCTGTTTCTACCGAGCGAATATATGTGCGTATGTATATGTGTACATCTTTTCATGTTTTTATCGATCCATCAATATATCAGTCTATATGTCACTCGAGCCGACACACCAATCAGTCAGTCGACCTACATATCTATATACAGGTGTATATATCTATCGACCTCTCTGTCGGGTCAACCGTCGGGACAACCATTGAAACAACCATCGGGACAAGAGTCGGGACAACCATCGGGACACCCGTCGGGACAGACATCGGAACAACCATCGGTAAAACCATCGGGACAACAATCGGGAAACCATCGGGACAACCATCGGGACGCCCATCGGGACAACCGTCGGGACAACCATCGAAACAACCATCGGGACAAGAGTCGGGACAAACCTCGGGACAACCGTCGGGACAACCATCGGGACAACCATCGGAGCAACAGTCGGGACAACACCATAGGGACCACAATCGGGACAACCATCGGGGCAACCATCGGGACAACCATCGGAAAAAACCATCGGGACAACCATCGGGAAACCATCGGGACAACCATCGGGACACCCATCGGGACAACCATCGGGACAACCATCGAAACAACCATCGGGACAAGAGTCGGGACAACCATCGGGACACCCGTCGGGACAGACATCGGAACAACCATCGGAGCAACAGTCGGGACAACACCATAGGGACCACAATCGGGACAACCATCGGGGCAACCATCGGGACAACCATCGGTAAAAACCATCGGGACAACAATCGGAGCAACAGTCGGGACAACACCATAGGGACCACAATCGGGACAACCATCGGGGCAACCATCGGGACAACCATCGGTAAAAACCATCGGGACAACCATCGGGACAGACATCGGGACAACCATCGGGACAACCATCGGGACAACCATCGGGACACCCATCGGGACAGCCATCGGGACAACCATCGAAACAACCATCGGGACAAGAGTCGGGACAACCATCGGGACACCCGTCGGGACAGACATCGGAACAACCATCGGAGCAACAGTCGGGACAACACCATAGGGACCACAATCTGGACAACCATCGGGGCAACCATCGGGACAACCATCGGTAAAAACCATCGGGACAACCATCGGAGCAACAGTCGGGACAACACCATAGGGACCCCAATCGGGACAACCATCGGGGCAACCATCGGGACAACCATCGGTAAAAACCATCGGGACAACCATCGGGACAGCCATCGGGACAAGCATCGGGACAAGCATCGGGACAAGCATCGGGACAAGCATCGGGACAGCCATCGGGACAGCCATCGGGACAGCCATCGGGACAGCCATCGGGAAAGCCATCGGGACACCCGTCAGAACAACTGTAGGGACAACCATCGGGAAAGCCATCGGGACAACCATCGAGACAACCCGCGGGACAACCATCGGGGGCCGCGCCTGGCCGCGGGGGGGGGCGGCCGATCTTGTGGGCTCCATGTGGCCTCTACCAGTGCAGGAACTCGGGCAGCCTCGCCTCGCCCGCACGCACGACACGAACCGAAACCGAAACTGATTTCCCGTTTGGGGCCACTTCCGTTCACACTCCCAAGCCTCCGATATATACACATGTATGTCTATGTATATAGTTATGAATGCAGGAATATACATATATACATATTTATACACATATAAAATGCAAATATAAGCATGCATACATACATATATATATGTATATTTATGTATGTGTGAATATATATATATACAAATACATACATATATATATATATATGTACATATATATATGTATATAACTATGAGTATACAACTGTATATATCTATGTATCAAGAAATGTCGCCTCTCTGGACCCCCTTGGGGAGAACTCGTCGCCACGTCTGGATTCCTACGAGATCCTGGTCTGAACGAGCCCCAGAAGAAGAGGTCGCGGGAGGTTGATACGCATGGCAGCAACACCTGGCGCCATCTCAGCACACACCGTCCTAGGACAAGACCACCGAGGCCGAAACGTTGAAGGCAAGAGACTGTGAGAGACATCCGCGCAGTTCGATCCCCAATCGCTGGTTAAATGTTAGAGATTTTCTGGCGTTCTTGTCCTATCTGCAGCTACGAGGCGGGCTGCAAGGGGGTGCAGAAAATGGCCTTTGAAGGGGCCCTTTACGGCCCCTGCTGGCTCCAAAGGGAGCCTTTAAAGGGCCCTTTAGGAGTCTCTTCTGCATCCCCCCATTTAGGTCACCCTCCATTACCACCCGCCCGAAGTTATCCAGCATCGGGATGCTTTCCGGCACCTCCGCCTCGCCGAGAGCGTTCTGAGGCTGCCTGGATCGTCCCGAACGGCCGCCAGGGACCCGAGTTAATGATCCGAAAGCCAGACATCCTCGCGGTCGATGAAGTACGCCCCGTCCTTCTGCAGCACCCCGATGCGGCCGCTAAACATGGAGGCCAGCATGCTGTCGGGGAATTTGCGCAGCGTGGAAAGGGCCGTCGTGAACCGGCGCTGGCCCACAAGGAGATCGACAACCGGGGGGAACTCTACCTGCGCGGCAGCGGGAAACCTAATGCCATCGGCACTGATCACTTGTGCAGGGGGCATCTATTTGGTTCCACCACCTTCCGCCGAAACCCGACCCCAACATCCGCCGGCAGAACTCGCGCTCGCATCACGTCCGCTGGCCTCTGCCCGGGTCGAGATCAACACCTGAACGACCTGTGGATGCGGCGATCGTTCCGCTGGTGACCCGAATCCGCCACCATGCCGCAAGCACTGAGTGGAGCGTCCTCAGGTCCTCAAAAATAGCCAACCCTGAACACCCCATCTGTTAACATGATCGGCCCACGAACCCGGAAAGGAATATAGAAATGTAAAGCATGGCAACGTTTCAAAGACACCTGATTGGGCGACGGGCAAATGCAATGCTGACTGTATCGATTTTGATGTACCGTGCCGAAGGCTGTGCTGTGCTGCGCTGTGCTGATGCTGAACTGCGATGTGCCATGCCGCGAATGTGATCTATATAGCGTTGTGGATCGAGTCCTCCTTTGCACCCGAGTCCTGACCGAACTGATCTGGATCTTAAGCTCGAGCTGCCTCAGCACATAGTAGCTGCCCCAGAGCTAATTGACAAGGGAACATGCCAGGAGGACGCGCCGCGGAACGTCCCAAGGGACGCGCCAGGCGACGTGCCAAGGGACGTGCCACGAAGACGCACCGCGGGACGTGCCGAGGGGACGCGCTACGGAAAGAGCCACCTGACGTGCCAATGGACGTGCCAGGGGACGCGCCGCGCGACGTGCCAAGGGGACTCGCCACAGGACGCGCCACGGAACGTGCCAGGTTGCAATGCTGAGTGTATCGATCTTGATGTACCGTGCCGAGCCCTGTGCTGTGCTGCGCTGTGCTGAACTGCGATGTGCCATGCCGCGGTTGTGCTCTATAGCGTCGTGGATCGAGTCCTCCTTTGCACCCGAGTCCTGACCGAACTGATCTGGATCTTAAGCTCGAGCTGCCTGAGCACATAGTAGTTGCCTCAGAGCTAATGGACAGGGGGACATGCCAGGAGGACGCGCCGCGGAACGTCCCAAGGGACGCGCCAGGCGACGTGCCAGGGGACGTGCCACGGGGACGCACCGCGGGACGTGCCGAGGGGACGCGCTACGGAACGTGCCAATGGACGTGCACCGCGCGACGTGCCAGGGGGACTCGCCACGGGACGCTCCGCGGAACGTGCCAGGCAACATGCCAGGCTGCAATGCTAGGGGTATCGATATTGATGTACCGTGCCGAGGGCTGTGCTGTGCCTGGGCGACCTGGACACGTGAAAACACGCGTTTCGCTCAAGACGTTCTCAGCACATCCTCATGCTAGACATCCGCCTGGGCAACCTGGACACGTGCAAACAAGCGTCTCGATCGAGACTTTCTCGACACATCCTCATGCTAGACATCCGCCTGGGCGACCTGGACACGTGAAAACAAGCCTCTGGTTCGAGACATCCTCAACAAATCCTCATGTTAGACATCTATCTGGGCAACCTGGAGGCGTGAAACCAAGCGTCTCGCTCGAGACATCCTCAATACCTGGGCACGTGAAAACAAGCATTTCACTTGAGAGATCCTCTGAATTCAGGTCCCCAGGAGAGGACAAGCTATAACACAAAACAAGCGTTTCGATCGAGACATCCTCAACAAATTCTGACAAACAAGCGTTTCGCTAGGGACATCCTGAAATGTTAATTCGCCGGCCCGCTTCCCACTCGTTATTCATCGCAAGAGAACTCCGCCGGCCCTCTTCCCGTCAGACCCGGGGGTAAACAGCTAAAAGAGAACCCTGGGCCTGTGCCATTTCCGGGAACATAATCGACCCACGAACCCGGAAAGGAATATAGAAATGTAAGGCATTGCAACATTTCAAGGACACCTGATTGGACGACGGGCACATGCAATGCTGAGTGTATCGATGATGATGTACTGTGCCGAAGGCTGTGCTGTGCTACGCCGTGCTGAACTGCGATGTGCCATGCCGCGATTGTGCTCTATATATAGCGTTGTGGATCGAGTCCTCCTTGGCATCCGAGTCCTCACCGAATTGATCTGGAGAGTAAGCTCGAGCTGCCTGAGCAGATGGTAGCTGCCCCAGAACTAATCGACAGAGGGAACATGCCAGGAGGACGCGCCGCGGAACATCTCAAGGGACGCGCCAGGCGACGTGCCAGGGGACGTGCCATGGGGACGCACCGCGGGACGTGCCAAGGGGACACGCTACGGAACGTGCCAATGGACGTGCCGAGGGACGTGCCAGGGGATGCGCCGCGCGACGTGCCAGGTGGACTCGCCACGGAACGCGCCAAGGAACGTGCCAAGGTGCATAGTTGAGTGTATCGATCTTGATGTACCGTGCCGACGGCTGTGCTGTGCTGGGCCGTGCTGAACTGCGATGTGCCATGCCGCGATTGTGCTCTATATAGCGTTGTGGATCGAGTCCTCCCTGGCATCCGAGTCCTCACCGAACTGATCTGGATCGTAAGCTCGAGCTGCCTGAGCAGATGGTAGCTGCCCCAGAACTAATCGACAGAGGGAACATGCCAAGAGGACGCGCCGCGGAACGTCCCAAGGGACGCGCCAGGCGACGTGCCAGGGGACGTGCCATGGGCACGCACCGCGGGACGTGCCAAGGGGACGCGCTACGGAACGTGCCAATGGACGTGCACCGCGCGACGTGCCAAGGGGACTCGCCACGGGACGCTCCGCGGAACGTGCCAGGCAACATGCCAGGCTGCAATGCTAAGGGTATCGATATTGATGTACCGTGCCGAGGGCTGTGCTGTGCCTGGGCGACCTGGACACGTGAAAACACGCGTTTCGCTCAAGACGTTGTCAGCACATCCTCATGCTAGACATCCGCCTGGGCAACCTGGACACGTGCAAACAAGCGTCTCGCTCGAGACATCCTCAACAAATGCTCATGCTAGACATCCGCCTGGGCGACCTGGACACGTGAAAACAAGCCTCTGGTTCGAGACATCCTCAACAAATGCTCATGCTAGACATCCGCCTGGGCGACCTGGACACGTGAAAACAAGCCTCTGGTTCGAGACATCCTCAATACCTGGGCACGTGAAAAACAAGCAATCCACTTGAAAGATCCTCAGAATTCAGGTCCCCAGGAGAGGACAATATATAACACAGAACAAGCGTTTCGCTCGAGACATCCTCAACAACATGATCGACCCACGAGCACGGAAAGGAATATAGAGATGTAGCGCATGGCAGCGTTTTCAAAGACACCTGATTGGGTGACGGGCAAGTGCAATGCTGATTGTATAGATCTTGATGTACGGTGCCGAGGGCTGTGCTGTGCTGCACAGTGCTGAATTGCGATGTGCCATGCCGCGGTTGTGCTCTATAGCGTCGTGGATCGAGTCCTCCTTTGCATCCGAATCCTGACCGAACTGATCTGGATCTTAAGCTCGAGCTGCCTGAACACATAGTATCTGCCCCAGAGCTCATTGACAAAGGGACATGCCAGGAAGACGCGCCGCGGAACGTCCCAAGGAACGCGCCAGGCGACGTGCCAAGGGACGTGCCATGGGGTCGCACCGTAGGACGTGCCAAAGGGACGCGCTACGGAACGTGCCAATGGATGTGCCACGGAATGTGCCAGGGGACGCGCCACGCGACGTGCCAGGGGGACTCGCCAAGGGACGCCCCACGGAACGTGCCAAGGAACGTGCCAAAGTGCAATGCTGAGTGTATCGATCTTGATGTACCGTGCCGAGGGCTGTGCTGTGCTGCGCCGTGCTGAATTGCGATGTGCCATGCCACGATTGTGCTCTATAGCCTCGTGGATCGAGTTCTCCTTTGCATCCGAATCCTCACCGAACTGATCTGGATCTTAAGCTCGAGCTGCCTGAACACATAGTATCTGCCGCAGAGCTAATTGACAGGGGGACATGCCAGGAGGACGCGCCGCGGAACGTCTCAAGGGACGCGCCAGGCGACATGCCAGGGGACGTGCCATGGGGACGCACCGCGGGACGTGCCAAGGGGACGCGCTACGGAACGTGCTGGGGACAAGCGTTGCGCTTGAGACATCGGGTCAAAATCCTAATTCTAGACATCCGCCCGAGCGACCTGGACACGTGAAAACAAACGTTTCGCTCAACACATCCTCAACACATTCTCATGCTTGGCATCCGCCTGGGCGAACTGGACACGTGAAAACAAACGTCTCACTCGAGACATCCTCAGCACATCTTCATGTGGTACGTCCGCCTGGGTGACCTGGGCACGTGAAAACAAGCGTTTCGCTCGATACGGTTTCAACACCTCCTCATTCTAGACATCCGCCTTGGCGACCTGTACACGTGAAAGCAAACGTCTCACTCGAGACATCCTCAACATATCTTCATGTTATACATCCGCCTGGGCGACCTGGATACGTGAAAACAAGCGTATCTCTCGAGACATTCTCAACACATCCTCATGCTAGGCATCCGCCTGGACAACCTGGACACGTGCAAACAAGCATCTCGATCGAGACTTCCTCAACACCTCCTCATTCTAGACATCCGCCTGGGCGACGAGGACGCGTGAAACCAAGCGTCTCGCTCGAGACATCCTCAACTCATCCTGGCGCTTGACCTCTGCCTGGGCAACCTGGAGGCGTGAAACCTAGCGTCTCGCTCGAGACATCTTCAAGACCTGGGCACGTGAAACCAAGCATTTCACTTGAGAGATCCTCAGAATTCAGGTCCCCAGGAGAGGACAATCTATAACACAAAACAAGCGTTTCGCTCGAGACATCCTCAACAAATTCTGAAAACATGATCGACCCACGAACCCGGAAAGGAATCTAGAAATGTAAGACATGGCAACGTTTCAAAGACACCTGATTGGGCGACGGGCAAATGCAATGCTTAGTGTATCGACCTTGATGTACCGTGCCGAGGGCTGTGCTGTGCTGTGCCGTGCTGAATTGCGATGTGCCATGCCACGAGTGTGCTCTATAGCGCTGTGGATCGAGTCCTCCTTTGCATCCGAGTCCTGACCGAACTGATCTGGATCTTAAGCTCGAGCTGCCTAAGCACATAACTAGTAGCTGCCCCAGAGTTGATTGACAAGGGAACATGCCAGGAGGACGCGCCGCAGAACGTCCCAAGGGACGCGCCAGGCGACGTGCCAGGGGACGTGCCATGGGGACGCACCGCGGGACGTGCCAAGGGGACGCGCTACGGAATGTGCCAATGGACGTGCCACGGGACGTGCCAAGAGACGCACCAAGCGAGGTGCCAGGGGACGTGCCACGGGGACGCACCGCGGGACGTGCCAAGGGGACGCGCTACGGAACGTGCCAATGGACGTGCCACGGGACGTGCCAGGGGACGCGCCGCGCGACGTGCCAGGGGGACTCGCCACAGGACGCGCCACGGAACGTGCCAAAGAACGTGCCAAGTTGCAATGCTGAGTGAGTGTATCGATCTTGATGTACCGTGCCGCGGGCTGTGCTGTGCTGCGCCGTGCTGAACTGCGATGTGCCACGTGACGATTGTGCTCTATAGCGTTGTGGATCGAGTCCTCCTTTGCATCCGAGTCCTAACCGAACTGATCTGGATCTTAAGCTCGAGCTGCCTGAGCACATAGTAGCTGCCCCAGAGCTAATTCACGGGGGGCATGCTAGGAAGACGCGCCGCCGAAAGTTCCAAGGGACGCGCCAGGCGACGTGCCAGGGGACGTGCCATGGGGACGCACCGCGGGACGTGCCAAGGGGACGCGCTACGGAAAGTGCCAATGCATTATGGACGTGCCACGGAACGTGCCAGGGGACGCGCCGCGCGACGTGCCAGGGGGACTCGCCACAGGACGCGCCACGGAACGTGCCAAAGAACGTGCCAAATTGCAATGCCGAGTGAGTGTACCGATCTTGATGTAATGTGCCGAGGGCTGTGCTGTGCTGTGCCGTGCTGAACTGCGATGTGCCATGCCGCGATTGTGCTCTACCGCGTTGTGGATCGAGTCCTCCGTTGCATCCGAGTCCTGGCCGAACAGATTTGGATCTTAAGCTCGAGCTGCCTGAGCACATAGTCCACGCAGTAGCTGCCGCAGAGCTAATTGACAAGGAAACATGCCAGGAAGACGCGCCGCGGAACGTTCCAAGGGACGCGCCAGGCGACGTGCCAGGGGACGTGCCACGGGGACGCACCGCGAGACGTGCCAAGGGGACGCGCTCCAGAACGTGCTGGGGACAAGCGTCGTGTCGGTGGCCTGGACACGTAAAAACACGGTGCCAGCTCGGGACAACCATGAGAGATACCCCCTGGGTGGCCTGGACACGTAAAACACGTGGTTCCAGCTCGGGACAATCATGTTAGAGATCTCCCTGGGTGGCCTGAGCATGAAAAAACACGTGGTTCCAGCTCGGGACAGCCATGTTAGATACCCCTCTGCGTGACTTGGATACGCTGAATTCGCGCTCCCGCTCGAGACATCCTCACAACGTCTTCCCTGGAGAGGCCCTCAAAGCGCACCCCCCTGTTCAGAGCAAGAAGCCATCACTTTTCCTCATAATCCGGCGTTGGGCCCGACGCCATGTTAGATACCCCAACTCTGCAAAACCAGCGTTTCGCTCGAGACATCCTCAACAAATTCTGAAAAGCAAGCGTTTCGCTCGAGACATCCCCCAACTCTGCAAAACCAGCGTTTCGCTCGAGACATCCTCAACAAATTATGAAAAACAAGCGTTTCGCTCGAGACATCCTGTCAAAATCCCAAGAAATCTAAATTCCTGCGCGCGGGACGCGGCACGCGCGAGACATCTTCAGAATTCCTGCGCGAGGGGCGCTTTTCCGTGTCGCGGTCGGCTCTGCAAAACCAGCGTTTCGCTCGAGACATCCTCAACAAATTCTGAAACCAAGCGTTTCGCTCGAGACATCCCCAACTCTGCAAAACCAGCGTTTCGCTCGAGACATCCTCAACACATTCTGAAAAACAAGCGTTTCGCTCGAGACATCCTCAAAAATAATTCCGCCGGCCCTACTCCCGCACGTAATTTATCGCAGAATAATTTCGCCGGCCCAAGTCGCAGGGGGGCCGGGGGGTTAACCTACTAAAAGAGAACCCTGGGCCCGCGCCCTTTCCGGGAAAAACAAGCGTTTCGCTCGAGATATCCTCAAATTTTAATTCGCTGGCCCTCTTCCCACTCGTTATTTATAGCAAAAGAAATCCGCCGGCCCTCTTCCCGTCAGATCCGGGGGTAAACAGCTAAAAGAGAACCCTGGGCCTGCGCCCTTTCCAGGAAATTCTGAAAAACAAGCGTTTCGCTCGAGACATCCTCAAATCTTAATTCGCCGGCCCTACGCGACCTCATTATTTATCGCAAAAGAAATTCGCCGCCCTACAGCCGTCAAAACCGGGGGTAAACCTACTAAAACCCTGGGCCTACGCCCTTTCCGGGAAAAACATGATCGACCCACGAACCCGGAAAGGATTATAGAACTGTAACACATGGCAGCGTTTTCAAAGACACCTGATTGGGTGACGGGCAAATGCAATGCTGAAGGTATCGATCTTGATGTACCGTGCCGAGGGCTGTGCTGTGCTGCACCGTGCTGAATTGCGACGTGCTATGGCGCGATTGTGCTCTATAGCCTCGTGGATCGAGTTCTCCTTTGCATCCGAGTCCTGACCGAACTGATCTGGATCTTAAGCTCGAGCTGCCTGGACACATAGTAGCGTCCCCAGAGCTAATTGACAGGGGGACATGCCAGGAGGACGCGACGCGGAACGTCTCAAGGGACGCGCCAAGCGACGTGCCAAGTGACGTGCCATGCGTGCGTGCGTGCGTGCGTGCGTGCGTGCGTGCGTGCGTGCGTGTGTGTGTGTGTGTGTGTGTGTGTGTGTGTGTGTGTGTGTGTGTGTGTTGCGAGTGTGTGTGTGTGTGTGTGTGTGGGTGGGTGGGTGGGTGGGCGTGCGTGCGTGCGTGCGTGCGTGCGCAAGCTCGTGCGTGTGGGCGTGAGCGTGTGCGTGTGTGTGTGTTTATGTGTGTGTGTACGTGTACGTGTGTGTGTATGTGTGTTTGCGTGCGTGCGTGCGTGCGTGCGCGCGAACGCTCGTATGTGTGTGTGTGTGTGCGCGTGCGTGCGAGCGTGTGCGTGTGCGCGCGCGTGCCATGGGGTCGCACCGCGGGACGTGCCAAGGGGACGCGCTACGGAACGTGCCAATGGATGTGCCACGGGATGTGCCAGGGGACGCGCCACGCGACGTGCCAGGGAGACTCGCTAAGGGACGCGCCACGGAACGTGCCAAGGAACGTGCCAAGTTGCAATGCTGAGTGTATCGATCTTGATGTACCGTGCCGAGGGCTGTGCTGTGCTGCGCCGTGCTGAATTGCGATGCGCCATGCCGCGATTGTGCTCTATAGGCTCGTGGATGGAGTCCTCCTTTGCATCCGAGTCCTGACCGAACTGATCTCGATCTTAAGTTCGAGCTGCCTGAAGACAGAGTAGCTGCCCCAGAGCTAAATGACAGGGGGACATGCCAGGAGGACGCGCCGCGGAACGTCTCAAGGGACGCGCCCAGCGACGTGCCAAGGGACGTGCCATGGGGACGCACCGCGGGACGTGCCAAGGGGACGCGCTACGGAACGTGCTGGGGACAAGCGTTTCGCTCGAGACATCCTGTCAAAATCCAAGGAAAACATGGCAAAACAAACGAATTAGTCGAGACATCCTCGAAATTCCTGCGCGCGGGACGCGGCACGCGCGAGACATCCTCGGAATTCCTGCGAGCGGGACGTAAAAACAAGCATTTTGCCTGAGACATCCTTTGAATTCTGGCCCCCCACGAGGCCCCCGCTCGAGACATCCCCCAATTTTGCAAAACCAGTGTTTCGCTCGAGATCTTCAACAAATTATGACAATTTTGCAAAATCAGCGTTTCGCTCGAAACATCCTCAACCAATTATGGAAAAACAAACATTTCGCTCGAGACATCCTGCCAAAATTCAAAGGAAACATAGAAAAACAAACGAATTAATCGAGACATCCTCGAAATTCCTGCGCGCGGGACGCAGCACGCGCGAAACATCATCGGAATTCCTGCGCGCGGGGCGCTTTTCCGCGTCGCGGTCGGCTCTGCAAAACCAGCGTTTCGCTCGAGACATCCTCAACAAATTCTGAAAACAAGCGTTTCGCTCGAGACATCCCCAACTCTGCAAAACCAGCGTTTCGCTCGAGACATCCTCAACAAATTATGAAAAACAAGCGTTTCGCTAGGGACATCCTCAAAAATAATTCCGCCGACCTTCTTCCCGCACGTAATTTATCGCAGAATAATTCCGCCGGCCCTTTTCCCGTCGATTCCCGGGGCAAACTTCTAAAAGAGAACCCTGGGCCCACGCCCTTTCCGGGAAAAATGCCCCAAAAATACCCTAAGATGGTAAAAAAATACACCAAAAATAATTCCCATATTATTTGTGGACTGTTTGGGAATATCTCTGGGTTTTTGTTTTAAACAAATTTTTCGTCGAACATTCCCCCGTAGGGCGACAGGCCCGACTTAATGTTATTTCTTCTCACCGAGAACAGCGAGGAAAGGCGGATCGAGGAGACCGCTGCCCATCAGGAGGGCCATCCCAATTGCGCGGGTCACGGACGGAAGAGCCCAGCGAGGCACGTTGCCTCCTGCTCCCTCTACCTCGCTCCTCCTCCTCGGAGTCTCGGTGTCGGGCCACCATGATAAGAAGAAGAAAAAACGCCTCAAACATAAGCTTTTGGCGCTCCGCGCGGATTTCTTGGATCTGCGCCGGACCCCCTCCCTGGCGTGCGGAGCGCGCCAGGGGCGGCGCCGGAGGCGCCGCCGGGAGGGCCCCGCGCGGATCCAAGAAACCCGCGCGGAGCGCCAGCAGTTTATGTTTGTGGAGTTCTTTCTTTTTCTACCCTCGGAGTCTCGGTGTCAGGCCACCACGAGGATTCTGGAGCGCCCCACCACGTCCATGGCAAGGCCACGGAGGCACCCGCGCGGCGCCGGGGGCTTGTCCTGCACCGCCAGGACACATCCCCCTCCTCGGCCGCGGGGAGCCGTGCCCTGAGTCTCTGGGGGCATGGTGGACACGGACACGGCCAAGCCGCTGCCACGAGGAGCGCGAGGCAACTACACTCGGCCCTTCTCATAAGGATGCGCGACCAGGATGCAAGGGCCTTGGACGCCCGTTTCGAAGCTCTTCGAGCGCGGCGCGGCCAACGAAAGTGGCCCAGGATGGACCGAGGAGGCAAGGACGCAAGGGCACCCTTGGGAAGGCTGCCCATCCGTACTATGCGGGTCGACTGCAACCAACGAGGCCCCCCGTTGGCACCAAAAGCCCCTGGGTGCACGAGGAGCGCTGGAGCCGAAATGCCCCGTCGGTTTGCGTCTTGACTGCGCTGCCCCGCCCACGGGTGGCGGGCAGGCGTCCGCACACCGCCCCCTTCGAGAGGCCTCTCGAGATCCCGGGGCACGGCCTCCGAGGCGGTGGATGTGGATACCCAGACGTCCGACGATGCGACGCTTTCAATGCGCCCGCCCCCGATCCCATAGGGCAGCCTTCCCGCCCCCGGGCCCGTTTCTGGTGGCCTACAGACAGGGGCCCGATGGCGGGCCCCTGGAGGCCGAAGCCGAAGCCGCCAGGATTGGACATGATCGGCCCACGAACCCGGGAAGGGATCTCGAACTGCGAAGCATGGGCACGTGTCCAAGCATCTCAGTGGTGAACACATCAATGGCGGTGGGCAAGGGCAGAAGACATCAATGGTGCTGGTTCTGTGCCAGGGGACGCGCCACGGAACGTGCCAGCGGACGTGCCAGGGGACGTGCCAGGGGACGTACCAGCGCGCCGCGGGATGTGCTGGGGGGATGCGCCACGGGACGTGCCAGCGGACGTGCCAGGGGACGTGCCAAGGGACTCGCCGCGCTACGTGCCAGGGGGACGCGCCACGGAACACGTCAGGGGGACGCGCCACGCCATGTGCCGGCGGAGGTGCCAGGAGACGTGCAGAGGAACGTCGCTGAGTCTGCGCTCCCAAGGCTAAGATCCCTCGTGCACTGCTCTGCGTCCGCGCTCGTGGGGCCACGGAGCACTCCGCGGAGGTTGCCCAGAAGAGGCCCCCCTGTCCTGAGTAGAAAGCCAATCTTCGTCGGAACTGAGAAGTGTATTCGGGTGGCAATTTTCGGCCCCCCCCCGCCGATTCCCGAAAATTCGGCGCTGAGGCCGAAGGCGCGAATCCTACTAGATTGCGCTGCGTCCGCGCTCACAAGACAATAATCCCTAACTCATTAATCACGCTGCATCCGCGCTCCCAGGGCGAGGATAACATGTGAATTGCCGTGTATCCGCGCATCCATCGTAAATTACGATGCGTCCGCTCTTCCAGGGCCAGGATCTCTCGTAAATTACAATGCGTCAGCGCTTCCGGGGCCAGGATCCCTCTTGAATTATGCGGCATCCCCGCTCCCAGGGCCAGCTTTCCCTTGTACAGTGCGTCGCGCCCGCCCCCCCCAGGGCCACGAGCGAGCGAGCGAGCGAGCGCGCGATGTCGGTCCAGCGGGACCATCCCTATGAGGGCAGCGCGGGGGGGCCGGGGCCCCTCAGAAGACGAGTCGGAGCCGGAGTCGGAGAGATGGACGCTGGAGTCCATCTCTCCGACTCCGGCTACCAGTTTTTCCCGACTCCAGCGTCCATCTCCGACTCCGGCGCCCATCTCTCCGACGCCGGCTCCCAAGTTTCCGACTCCGGCGCCCTTCTCTCCGACTCCGGCGCCCAACTTTCCGCCCCCCCAGGGCCACGATATCCTTCGTAAGTGGCGATGCGCTCGCGCGCCCAGGGCCAGGATCCCCTGCCAGCTGCGCCGCGCCCGCGCTCCCAAAAAGGCCACGACCCTCTGTGCACAGCTCCGCGCCCGCTCCCCCGCGGGGCCACGAGCCGCCGCAGAATGCGCGGTCTGCCCGCGCTCCCAAAGGGCCACGATTCCCCTCGCGCATTGCTCGGCATCCGCGCTCCCAGGGCCAGGATTCGTGGCAAATTTGCACCGCTGCCGCCCCACCAGGCGTCCCACTAGGATCCCTGGCAAAGTTGCATCCGCGCTCCCAGGGCTACGATCCCTCGTAAATCACGCGGCGTCCGCCCTCCCAGGGCCACGATCCCTCGTACAAAAAGAAAGCGGTGAACCCGCACTCCCAGAACCATTTGGGCATCCCGGAGCACCCAGGCCCTTCGAGTTCTCCAAAATAAGTGCGGGGCTCGAGACATCCTCGAACATTCTGCGCGCAGGACGCGCCACCTCGAGCGGTAAGGACGCGCCACCTCGAGCGGTATTTCTCCATGTTCTATACAGCTTGCGGGTCTCTGGACCTCGTGGCTTAGTATGGATTGTGCGCAAAACGCTCCGCAACCTTTTTTTACAAGAGAAAAATGAATGTGTGCGGAGCAACGAGGATCCGAGATGGGGAGCGCAATTTCCTTGAGTGGGCACGCGCGAAACGCATTTGTTCCGCCCAGAATGGGACTTTGCTAGTTGACTCGCTTTCATCAGCCGACCCTCTTCAAGCATGGCACCGGCTACAAATTACATCTACAGTCGGTCTTGATTGGACAGGACACGCGAGAGGACACAAGACCCTTCCGAGGGCCACACTGCCATGGGGGATGCAGGAGGCATGGGTCGCGAGGCACAGGACACGAGGGTACCCAAGGGTACCCTTGATTTGGCAGGGTCGACCTGCTAATCAGGGCCGACTGTAATAGATTCCTGGACACATGCCCTCTCTTGAAGGGGCCCCAGGACACACAAACAAATACACACAATAGAATGATGCCCCATATTTTCATATATTTTCTGGGTTTCTGTCTTCCCCCCCAATTCCAATATTTTCTAATATTTTCTGAGGAATGGAGGATTAATTGTGTCTGTGTGGTTCTTTCCCTCCTGATTTCTGGACAGAAGCCATGCAACCAGAGAATTTGGCTTCCAGGCCAGGACTCGGGCCTCCAACGGCCGCTCGGGACGATCCCGGCACCCCCAGAGCGCTCCCAGCGAGGCGCAGCTGCTGGAAGGCACACCAAGACGAGAAAACCTCCAGGAACCAGCGATGAGACCTCCCGTGAGATCCGAAGTTGCGAGCGAAGTGCAACATCGGGAAAAATCGTGACTGGAACCTCAAGCTCGACTTGTCTGCGGCCTTTCTCAGCCGGATCGATCTTTGATGGTCCCGGGCCCCGAAGACCAGGCGAAAACGTCCGGCGTGAAAGATTACCCCATCAAAGCACCCTGATAGCTGCAAAGGTGAAGAGGCGGATCGAGGAACAGCAGGTCGGCCAGGGGTCTAAGGTGCAGTCAGGACAAGGGTGAGAGCACGGCCATGTGGAGACCAGTGTGTTTTAAACACAAAGGATCGTGGCCGTCTGGACCAACCATGTGGCTGGCATTGACTCGCCATCGCTCGGACGTCCATTCCCTGTGTTTTTTTCGGTTTCGTGCGTGGCTTTTTCGCCAAATGATCAAGGATGCTCCTCGATGGTCCTCGCCGAAGGAAAAATGCACACGTCCGAGCGATGCCAGGTTGAGGCGAGAGAACGGTTCTACAATCAATTGTGAGGAAGTCTCGAGCGAAACGGCTGCCAGACTGGGCGGCCTGGGGCTCCCCGTCCCACCTGTGGGATTCTTCCGTGGCTCTCTTTTCTCACCGCTATGAGAACCCTCTCTCCCGAAATGCTGTGAAGAAAAGGTGCAGCGCCCGGATCTCAGAGGAGGCCGAAGCCGAGGAAACGACCGCCAGGATTGAAAAAGCGTCATGGCGAAGGACCCGAACCATCTGCAGTTGCCCTCGCCCCTCTTGCCCGTTTCTGCCCCCTCGCTCTCGGCTCCTCGCCCTCTTGCCCGCTTCTGCCCCTTGCCTGGCCCGCGTTTCTCTGTCGGCCCGCCCCGGTGTCCGTCCGTATGAAAGCCGCGGCGCTCCGCACTGCAACGCTGGCGAACAGCCAGGCGTGAGCCCAATCCTTGACGCTCTCCTCCTGTTCGCATGCGGTTTTTCTCCCCCAATCTCCTATTGCGGCTATAATTGTGAGTACCGCGTTGTGGGTACTGCAGTCGGGTGAGCTCCCTGTCGCGAGAGGGGCGCGCCGGAGTGGGTGGGGGGACGCATGCGGACTTTGCCACTTGGGCCTTTGATGGGGGTCCCATATAGGACCACGAAGAGTGTGAAGACTACGCCGAAATGGGCGGGTGGACGCATACGCACTTTGCCGCTGGGACCTTCGGTGGAGCTCCCTGCGGGGCCACGAGTGCTGAAATGGATGGGGAACCGCAGGTGGACTGTGACACTGGGGCCGTGTGTAGAGCTCCCTACGGGGCCACAAAACGTTTGAGGGGTATGTCAGAGTTGGTGGGGAACCGCATGTGGACTGTGTCACTGGGACCTTCGGTGGAGCTCCCTGTGGGGCCACGAAGCGTAAGGGGGGCATGCCAAAATTGGTGGGGAACCGCATGTGGACTGTGGGGCCTTCGGTGGAGCTCCACGAGGGGCCACGAAGCGTGTGAGGGGTGTGCCTGATGACAGGCGAACCGCATGTGGACTGCTCCACAGGGGCCTTCGGTGGAGCTCCTGGGGCCACAAGACACCCACATGTTTCATGCTTCTTCCGCGTTGGGGAGAAAAGGACCCGCGTGCTTTCACGCTTCTTCTGCTCTGGGGCGACAGGGACCCACGTGTTGCCACGCCTGCTCCGCTCTGGAGCGAGAGGGACCCGCGTGCTTTCACGCGCTTCCGCGTCCCCCGGAAACCACATGGGCAGCCTGGGGCGCCGAAGACCCCCAGGTTCTGCAAAAACGAGCGACTCGCCTCTTTGCGCAGGACGCGCGATCGAGGACGCAAAAAGTCTACACTTGCGAACTCTTTTTTCTTCTTTATATGAAAGATAAGACCTCCACACTTCGCTATGTATCGACGACTCTGCGCAAAACGCTCCGCACCTTTTGTCTACTATTGACGACGAGGTCTGCGGACTCAGTCATTTATCGAGGATCCACAATCGGGGGGCACACTTTCCTCGAGCGGGCACGCGCGAAACGTTT